CTGCAGGCTGTGCACTATTTCCGAGGCCGGCACCATTTGGAAGAGATCATGTACAACGAGAACATGCGTCGCTCCCAGCTGCTGATGCTGTTTGACAAATTCCGCAGTGTGCTGGTGGTGACCAGCCATGAGGACCCCGTGATTTCAGTTTTTCAGTCTCTCTTAAAGTGACTCCACCGGCAAAGGACGGGAACCTGCTACTCTCCATACTGATAGCCCAAAAGACGCCTAAAACCTAAAGGAGGTGATTTCAAATCCCTTCTTGCCCTGTGACGTAGAGCAGGTTCTCGATTTCTCACCTGCTCCGCGTGGTGACAGCGGAGGACGGTCTGCACGAGGGCCCTGGGGCCTGCTGCAGGACAGCATGCGCTTGCTTGGTCTGGATTCCGGCTGCACCGGTGTAACAGCACGGGAAAACCCTTCCCTGACCCTGCTCCTTCCCCAGGGCTTGTGAGAGCAGGCCAAGATTTCCATGGCAGTGTTACTGACAGTACCTCACCTTCAGGTGGACGCTGGCGCATCAGAAGTGCTTTCTCTGCTCTCCAACAACGTGACTGCTGGGTCATTCAGCCATGAGCGCCATTTGTGAGCAGCCCATCCCCATGGCAGAGCATGCATGGGCAGAGCGGAGCTGGCCTGGCTTCAGGGAAATGTCCCTGGGCGCTGAGGAATTCTGTTTGATCATCGTTATCTGGCAGCAGCGAGGACATAGGTAGGAAAGCAAAGTATCACAAGTAAACAGTTTCATGAATGAGAATGCCTCGCTCACTGTGTTTCAGCTTGTTATTTCCTCTCCCCAGTATCCTTATTACTCGGTGCCTACTGGAGCACGGCTGTCATCAAGCAGCCCATGTGTTTGTGTGTTTTCAGGGTTTCCAGTTTTTGACTGGGGGTGGGGAGCTTGGTTGTTGAGTGGGACTGAAATTAGCTGGCCAAGGGGCTAGTGCGTGGGCATGCTGGTTGCACACAGCCAGAGGCTGGTGCTAAGGACACTCAGACTTGTCCCCCAGGACTTGTTTTGTTCTTCCATTCCCCTCCCTGCAAGCATGGCTGTGGCTGCAGGAAACCTGGTCTGGGTTAAAGCTGTCCAGCTGAAAAACAAGATACAGGTGTTTACATAGCTGTGTTTCCTGATCTGGTTCAGGGCTGTGCTGGGGCTAGAATGAGAGGTGACAGCCCCTGTTTCTGGGGACAGCAGGAGCTTATGCCAGCTCACCCCTGGCCTGCGTGAGGCTGCTCTTCCCCACGGCTGCTCACCGCTGCGTACCCAGGGAAGGGGTCGGGGGAGACCTTTACCTCCACGGTGGCAGCTTCCAGGGGTGTGTGTTGTTAAAAGACTGTCAGACTCCTCCTTAAGCCCCTCCCTTATACCACACACACAAGCTGGAGTTTTTTCCCCAGAGAGGCAGGCTCTCACATAGCAGCTTCACTTGCCCACACAAACCAGGTGAAACTATGAGCTTCATATAACTTACCTACCTACCACCAGCAAGGCACAGTCGTGCCAGGGGAGCCTGGTGTCCACGGTGCACCAGATACTGAGGGGACCATAAGTAGTTGTCACTGGGTAAGTCTTCCCCTGCAGCTGCAAGCGGGGACGTTATAGAAGAGCAAAAGCAATACCCGACCTAAAAATCGGATCAGTGTTGCGGTAGGGCCCCGGTCCCAACCAGCCCCCAGTAACTGCATCTCAAGGTGAGATAGATACTGAGATTGGCATAACAAGAGCTGTTCAGGAGGGGCCAAAGATTTTTTTTTTTTCATGTGATGGGGACAAGGGTTGTGAAAAACTCGAGCTTTTTTTCCTTGCATATGAACCCTAAGGTGAGGGTGGGGTGCAGGGGGAAGTGTCCCTGTCACCCTTCCAGCTGCCAGTGCGGCTGCAGTTCGGCAGGTTCTGCCCTCAATCCTAGAGGTTTATTGCCCCTGTACCTCATGGCAGGCTGCAGCATCACAGAAATCTCAGCATCGGTGCTGTCTCTGTGTGGGGGCTCACACAGTGCTAAGTTTTGAACTGGTCTCAAAGGCAGCTGGGAAAACAAACAAAAACCTTCCTTGTTCTCTAAGCTAAGCTGGATGTTATAGACTGGTATAGATTGGAAGGGGTCTCTGGAGGTCTTTTGTCCAAACCTCTGCTCCAAGAGAATATTAGATCAGATCACTCGGGAGCTTGTCTGGGGGAGGTCTGAATGTCCCACAGCTTCTCTGGGCCCCTGTTCCAGTGTTTGACCACCCTCATGGTGAAAATTTTTTCCATACAGCTAACGAGAATTTCCTGTTTTTCAGCTTGTGCCCATTGCCTCTCATCCTGTCTGGCAAAAGCCTGGCTCTGTCTTCTCTACACTCTGCCAGGAGGTAGTTGTAGACAATAGTAAGATCCCTCCTTTACCCCCTCTTCTCCCAGCTCTCATCCTTTCAGTCAGCCCTGCTGCCATCTACTCTTTTGACTGTTCCCCCGCAGCAACCAAGCAATGGCCTCTCCTGGGGGCCAGCGGCAATGGGGGCAGCATAGCAGGTCAGAGCTGTGAACCTTTGCCATTCGTCCACCTTAATTAAACCTGGATCTATCAGCAAGGGAGAAAGTGGCCTTCAATGTCCAAACCAGTTCTGGCTGGGACACTCACGCCAGTCTGCCCTACAAATAAAATTCCACCTTGCCCCATTCGTTGTGATAAGGTACGTTTATTGTTAAAAACCTCCAAGCCACTCTGTCTGCCCTAGCTGCTGCCGTGACATAGCTTGAGGCTACTGTACACAGCACAGCTCAAGTCCTGGTCGGTGGCACACCTGCAAGACTCATCAGCTGCAAGAGAAATGTCCCATTGCTGCCATCTCTCTCTCCCTATTCTTGTCTACAACGCTCACAAATTTGTTTCCTCGTAAATAAAACCGGAGAGGTTTCTGTGCCCACTCTCCCCTGTTGCCAATACCAATCCTTGTTGTGGCTACCACGTCCTGCTCCCCTGGTAGGTCGTGTCCAGGTGCCATCCAGATGGCTGCATCTTGAGTCAGGTCCCTTTGGTCAAAAGCCTTATCAATCCCAAATGCTTGGCAGAGCTTGGAGGGCCCGTTACACAGCTGCCAGTCCTTCAGCAGCTTTGAGGGTCCTTTCCTTGAAGCGCTGCGCAGCTCTCTCATCGCATCTAAGCCCTGAAGAGGTTCCAAAGAACGAAGTAATACTGCAGCCCCTTCCCCTGTGCAGAACAAGAACCACGTGTTAGTACAGGGTTGTTCATCGTGAACATCTCAGCTTTCAGCCCCACCGCCAGCAGGAGCACTTCAGCTCTGAGCCTCTGGCTCAGCTTGGCCTGATGGAGCAGGGAATCGCCTGCAGGGTCTGTCCTTTTCTTGGGATGCTTCGCATCAAGCACCAGGCTCTGGAGTCAGCCACTAACCCACGGTCAGTGTACTCCCTTCCCTCTCCTGGCCATCCGGTGCCCCACAGCTCTGTGTCCTTTATTCATCAGTGCTGACTTGCTCTTCCCCAACCCCACTTCTTGATGTTACTAAGTCTAGCTGCTGCTCCGAGGCTTGCCAGAGGGCAAGAGGTTTTTTCTTATGTCAGCACAATGTTCAGGACTAAATACACATATGGTTCAGTTTTGGCATAGCTATCCAAAGCTGCTCCCAAACCCAGTGGATTTGTAATAAACTCTGATTACAAGAACTCCAGCTAACAAAGGAGAGGAGGAACGAGTCCGGATGCTGCCAGCAGAAAGAGGCAGCTTGCGGAGTTAGGCTGGACAAAGAGAAACCCGGGAAGGAGCTGCAGCACTGGGAGCGGCTGCTGCCCGTGCTGCTGCTGCTGGGGAACCTTGGCTGCAGGTGTTACTGATTCAAACACCCACTTGGAGTGTAACAGCAGGCGGGGTGACCACGGCTTTGGGTAACTGCACAGTTACAATGGAGAGCAATCCAAACCCTTGCGCCAGGGAAGCCCTCACAAAACAGGGACCTGAAACAGGACAAGGCTGCACCGTATCTGGCTGCGGGATGCACGGCCCTGGATGCACTTCAGCAGAGAAGACCTTTCTATGACAAGATGTGCAGAAAACTGACAGATTCTCTTCTCAAATGTGATTTGCCACCCTATCAGAGAGCCTTAGGAAACTCCAGCTCTCCACAGCTGTTGTGATCAGCTGCACTCCCCGATTTTGGGGACAGTGAAGCAAAGATGCAGCTCTGAGCACAGACACTCCCCTGGGACAAGGATCTCCAGCCTAAGTGGGACTTAACAGTTCCTTGGTATTTTCCACTGGACAGCAAGGAGGTCTTCTCATGACCTTGAGTGGGCGAGGAGAGAGCCTGGCAGAGCGGTCTGCATGCTGCCCCACACAGCACCCCTTGTGCTGGGGCCGCCCCCGGCATTAAAAGGCTTCTACATGCTCCGTGATGCTGCTCCGCAAGAATCCCCTCTCCCTCTTCAGCCTCAAACATCTGGAGCCACGCTCCCGCCTGGCAAAGGCTTTTTTTGTAGGCACTGACAGATCCCGAAGGACCTGCGATTTCCAAAAATAGAATCCCTCTCACATGTTGTACAAATCCCACACTAAATTACCCTCCTGGGCTCCCAAACAAGCCTATCAACTGAGGACCTGATTTCTGGCTTTTGTGAGGTGTGCCTCTTGCCCTGAACCTGCCCAGAGCCCCCGCTGCCCTCAGTACAGCTCAGTGAAGTCAACAGCCTTATTTCCAACAGCTGTCAGCAATCTGTTCCCAGGCACTCCCTTCTCTAAGGAAGGGGATTGATGCTAATCTGGCAGCCAAAAGCTGCTTCCCTGTACTACAGTGATTTAGAGCTCAAAGGTCATTTTAGATTTTTAAGAACATGCTCCACGTCCTAATTCTGCTTTTCATCCGTGCACAAAGAAACATCCTTCCCATTGGGATGCTGCCTCACTCGCCAGGAACAACTGTGGGATTCTGAGCAATCGCTAATTACACTACTTGCCTTCATCCATCACAAATGCAAGTGGAAACCGTGGTTAGACTTGAGTTGAACCGAGTCCTTGGGAGTTCATGTGAAGAGAGACAAGCACTCGGAGAAACTGCAGGTGCTCCCAGAGCATCCGCAGAGCCATGGCAAGGGCATTTCTGGCTCCGACTGCTCTTTGTGTATTTCCACCAGAAAGTTTTAAAAAAACTCTTTCCTTCCGCATGCAACACAGACCCTGCTCTCTGCTCCAAGCCAGCAGCCCCTGAATGTGAGAGCAACACCACGAGAGCTTTGGGAAGAGGTGGAGACAGCAAGCAGGATAAGAGTGCAAGGATGCCATGATGAGCTACTGCCTTTGCTGCTCCCACACCCCTGGGCTGATGTTCAGGTCCTCCCATACTTGCACATCGGAAGTTTAACTACCAAAGAGTAGCAGAATCCTTCTGGCTCGCCTCTTGCCTGCCAGAGTGCTTCAGCCTGCTTTCCTCTCTCTCCACAACCTGCAGCAGTTTGCTGCTGACGTGCCACCAGCAGCAGTGCCAGTCCAGAGACACTGCATATCTACCTCCCATGCCTAAGAGTCACTCCATATAGTGAGTAGCATTCGAAGCTAAAAGCTGGGCTCCAACAACGACAAAGGGGCCAATTCTCTCCCTCTGAGCAGCTAGAAATCATAAAACGATAGGGAAGTCCCACACCCCCACTGTGCAGCTTGCTGCTCCTTCCCTGGAATGGCTCCAGCTCCCATTCTTGGAAACAGCTCTTGGCCACCAGAGAGAAGCAAATTTTCTCTCTCCACCCGTCTGACTCACTGCTCCTGAAACACTTCCTTCAAAGTCCTAGTCTAGGATCCAAAAGTTAGAGGGAAGTCCATGCAGTGTGACCCTGCGCCTGGGCAGAGCATCACTGAGATCTTGATTTTACAAGCTGTTCTTTCAGATCCGGCAGCAAAATGCACACCTTGGCAAATTCCAGAGAAACAAATCACAGCAAAGTCAAAGAGAAGCTTGATTGGCATTTGCCCTCTTCCTGAAGTGAGGGAAGCCCAACACCCCTCTTAACCCCGGGGAAAGCTCTTTGTACTAAGATTATTCTGCTGCTGAGGATATACTGTAGGATTCATGCACACTGACAGACATCGGTTTTATCTTTTTCTATAAACTCTTCTTCCTCCATCATCTATTTCTCCTTCCAAAACCACAACGTAGCGATGTCCACGATGGCTTCAGGCAGTAGCAGTATTTGACCCAGTGATGGGAAGACCTCTCACAGTAAAATCCCGCATGATGCAGCTTTACCTCAGTGATGTGCACAAACGTTTCCCCTTCCTCGGTGATGAAAAATATTTGAGCCCACCCTTCAACTCATTAAGGCTTTATGAGCACACAGATACAGTCAAGTGACCTCGACTGAACACACTAACAGCCACAACTTCTTGCCCCAGCGAAGTGGCAGAACGACAGGTTACAGCTGAAGCGCATCTGTTGGCAGCAGCAGGCTGGGCTGGGGACATGCTGCTGAGGGGACACAGCAGTGGTGGCTCTCGAGGTAAAGTCTATGCTTTTGTAGCTGCTCTACCGAGCAGCTCTCCCACCAGCTCTACTGGTGACACACTTTTTCCTATCCCCGAGGGATAGCCCTGAGCCTGAAGTTTAGTGTAAGCCCAATATAGAAAACAGAAGAGGAGGTTTATTCCACCTGTATTAAACCACACGATGCTACAAGGCTACATGTCAAAACAAGAGAGGTCTAAAGAGCCAGAGTCTCATGAGCCAAATGCCCCATTCTTGACAAGCTAAGCCGAAGGGAGCAAGTAGGAGCAGCATATAAAGCCTTGTCCATCTTGTATGGGCCTCAGACCCTGAGCTGATTAAGGACCAAGAAGGCCCCAGCATGATTCAAGTCAGCCTTAAACTGCTTTTTAAAACAAAGTCTGCTGCAACAGTCCCATTCATGCTGCTTGCCTGGTGCCCACAGCATGTGTGTCCGGGACAGCCCTGTGCAGTGCCTGTGCCAAGAAGGCAGCAACACACAGGCAACACAGGGACAGCGCAGCGCTCTGATCCCACTCCAGTAGAAGGACGGCTGCTTTCATTAAGCTAGCGGCTCCAAACCAGCTCTACGGTCACTAGGTTCAAGAGTCTGAGAAGCACCAGGACAGCAGTCACTGCCCGTTCTTAAGA